GACGTAAAATTAAGTATAAATAAACTGATAAAGGCTGCTGCCTAAAAATGAAGAAAAAAAAGTAGCTTGTAGTCATAAATTAGTCACTACTACTATTACAGTAAAGCATCTCTGCAACAAGCCATTGTGGGCCAGGGAGGTTACAGTTTCATCAATTTGAGACCAACAGCAGAATTGTGGCTAGGTGGTCAGCATTGCGCACAAACCACCTTTAATTTCCAGACAAGCTGGTACCAATCAATCTGAAGCTTGGCCTTTGTTACAGTATTTAAAATTATTTCAAAATAAAACAGGTATGAAAAAAAATCTAGAGCAAATGTACATCATACAGTGTAACACTGTTCACCTGTATACTTCTTGTGGCACTATACAAGACAGCTTAACATTTCTGGACTATAAAAGAACTGTGAAAGTATATTTAGAAGAAATTAAGTTTTCTTCTACTGAATTTTGATGATGTCATTTGATGAATGATAATTAATAATGATATTGGCAATTATAATAGGAATTTCTTAGCAATAGCATAGCACTCAGATAAAGATTTTTCGTAGATAATTTTGTTTAATTTCAATTGCATTCCACATGTTTTTAAAATTTTTTTTAAATATATAAAAAAGAATTCTGGCATTTAAAGCTAGCTGATAACAAAAGTTGATTTAGAAAGAAGGAATGAAAAAATAGTCCCTCGACAGTTAATTCAATAAATGGAATTTAAATTATGCATAGAGAGATCACTTAACTTGACAAATAAATAGCTTGATTCTAAAAATAAATTTAAAATAATCTTGAAATTAATTAAATTTATAAAGTATTTAATGAACATAAGAAAATTTTTATTATTGGTAAATCTCACTTTGATGGCAGTGGGTGCACTTGAAAGAGTGACTAATGTACCGGCTGTTTCATACCGAACAGAAGGGCTACTGGAATTCAAAATATTATAAATACAGCAAATGAATCTTGATCTTTCAGAAGGGTTACCATGGCAGACCTGTAAGACAAAATGCAATGAAAAATTATTCCACACACTCATATAATACATTACTGAAATAAGCCAAATATATTTTATACATGAAACTGAACTGATTTGATGAGTCTTTGTACCCGATATTTCTTGTGAACCACTTTTGGTATATTTTTAGCGGTGCTGCTTTCACCACATGCCAAAAACCAAATAAAATACTGTATCCTATAAATTCAAATTTCACTTGTACCATAATAACTTTTAAACATAAAACATGAATTTCATAAATAACTGCAAATCCATATTAAATGTTAGATCCCATACAACTGTTTTGTTATGCATCTGCACCCAATGCCAAAGACGGAATCTAATATTGGCATCAGTGAAATTTAAAATTCACTTGTATTACAGTTAATTTTAAGCAGCAGTGGTAGGTAGGTTATACAGTGGCAGTTAACCTTAAAAAATTTAAAAAAAACACAGCAGTGTAGGGTATATTAGGCAAATATATACTGAGTAGTGGCACAAGAAGATCAAAACAAAAAACCTAGATATTAAAAAAAATAAATCTCTCTTACACAGGTAAATCACATATTGTGATTAATACAGACTAGGCTATAAGTTGAAAATACTTGCCTCCAACAATAATTTATTCTTTGTTATATTTTAAAAACTACAAATTATACACCATGGTATTTATTTTATAAAAACTGACATGAAGAAAATATTGCTAGATAATAACCTTATAAATAAGTTCAACTATAACAAGTTGCAATAAGTCACCAAACGTGTGAACTTGATCAATGCAGGATCCAAGATAATTCAGAGCACGTTCCTGATCAACATCATAAAGGCATTTCTTTTGCAGGACATGTCCTGCTCCGTCTCCAAGAAATTTGCTGCAAGTTCAGGGGCATCAGGAATCAGAAATTCAAAATTCCTAAAAAGAAAAAAGTACATATTAATCTAAAAATAGGCCGCAAAAAAAAGAACAATAAATTGAATATTTTCAGGAAAAAAATTTTTTAACATTAAGTTAATTTATAAAAAATTTTGGCATATAATTCACACTCAATATGTTTTAGACATTTTTTATAAAAGACTTTGCGAAAATGCATTCTCGTTGCATTTGCTTAAGCGGTTGGAGTAAAAATTGTCGTTGGAGTAAAAATTGCACCAATTGAAATTCAGCTGTACTTTCGAATTCGACTAGTGCAATCTTTACAGGAATTTCGTTTATCACAATATAAAGAAAATTTGAAATAAAAAATGCCTTTTTGGAGAAAAACTGTTTCTTTCGGTATTTTTTTTTTAAGTAATATTGTGGTGCATCATTTGTCGACAGTAAGCGGAGAAATATTGACCCCACTGCCTGTCTCATCGAAGTGACACTATTCAAATTTTGCCTGATGGCCAATCCATAATAGCTTTGGATTTTATCAATCATCACATCTGTGAGATGGTTTTTACCTGATAGAGTTTTTCCATCAGACAATTTTTGCCCTTTCATTGAAGATTTGAGGGGACGAAGGTGACTTCCCATTCTCTTCATAACATGGCCAATGCATTCAACTTCGGATACAAGGTAATCACTTCCATAAACATCTAAAGATTTTAAATGATCATAAGCTTTGGAGTCACCATCCCCTAAATAAGTTATGTATCTTGCATTGTATAACGATAAAGATCGTCGAAAAATTGCTGATACGCCCTCAACTTTCATTCTGCCATTGTAGCCACTGAAGTTTCTTTTGCAGTTGGCACTGTGTGCATGTTTACTCTTGCACATGCAATATTTAGTTAACACTTCGACATCGATAACTTTACCAGTATCAATGCTAGTGGCAGTGACAATTCCATTCAAAGAGGAGAAACCACGTTTCTGCCAAGTTCCATCTAACGCAACTCCAATATTGCGACTGCCGTCGTTTTCTTGAACTGCCTCTTCAATGGCATTTTTCATAGAATCTTGACAAACTTCATGGGTTATCGATAACAAACTTTTGTTGTAAGCACCAAGACGTGTTGGTGAGTTTGGCAAATTCATGACTGCACACAAAGATCGAGCTACTTCAGCTCCTTTTCCAATGGAACGCATTCCATAAACTAATCTAGTATTCACCTCGTACGGTTCTGAGTTAATGTGAGGATGTAAAACATGCTTTTTTGAGTTTGAAAATGTATATGACGTATCACAATTACTGCAATATAATTTAATAGAGACAGCAAGTTCAGAATTATTATCAACCATACTCAAACCGAGGCCATCTGCACCACATTGCTTACATTTTGTATACAGTTTAAAAATTTCTTCTAGTAAATCAAAATCCATTATAAAATTCTTAGATATTCACGAAGAGTATGTTTAATACGTTGTATTGATATGAAAAAGCTTTTTCTCACTTGCAGATTCATTTAGAGTTTCTGTAATATCAGGATTCGGATTTTCTTCATTGACTGCATTTTTTTTCTACCACCAAAGAAACAACCTTTTCTTTTCTTAAAAACCCTTCCTTTAGAGCATGGCATTATATTAAATAAATATAAAGATATATTTATAATATATAAAAAGTAACGATTTAAGGAGTTATATATAACTAAAACAGAAATGAGCTCGAAATCAAAATTCGTGTGCCATTCCTGATATTTGACAACAAATGCAAGGCATATACAACATTATTTTTAGATGTACCGTAATATAAAGTTAGCTTTAAGCTTTCATGTATATAAGAAATAAGCATTTTAACTTATAGCTTACAGCTAATATAAAGTAATATGAAAATCCGCGAATCCTGAGTTTCGTTTTCAGCATGGGTTGTCAAAAGTGGGCGTGACACATCTGTTGTTGTTGTTGTTGTTGTTGTTGATTTACGTCGCACTAGAGCTGCACAATGGGCTATTGGCGACGGTCTGGGAAACATCCCTGAGGATGATCCGAAGACATGCCATCACAATTTTGATCCTCTGCAGAGGGGATGGCACCCCCGCTTCGGTAGCCCAACGACACATCTAATGGGTCACTTGTTTACATTTTCAAACGTAAATTTTACTAACTTCTAATTTAAGTATAAACAAAAACTATACATCGTTGGAAAGGTCTTTAATTGTTTTTTTCAAATATGTAAAAATCTCAAAATTGATTTTTTGATATATAAGATTTTGATACAATTACATAAGATTTTTTATTCTAAAATATTTAAAAAATTTTATCAAAATTTGCAAGACAATTTTATATATTTTACAAATTTTAACACTGTTTGCAGCAGAAATGGAATACAATTTCACAAAAACAATGTGTAAAAAAGCACTTGACAGTAACAAAATTTGAAGATTTCAAAGCAGATATTAAAATTGCATATTCTATATAAAAGAATTTCAATAGTATCTAAATATCTTTTGTTCAGAATTTATTCCTGGTAAGTTTATCTTTATTATCTAGAAATAAAATTTGTTTTATATATTAAGAAGAGCAAAACTTTTCTAACGTGACCAACTTGTCTATCTTGTTTATTCACTAAACTCAGATTTATCTTTGAGTCTATTCTTAATTCTGCATTAGTTGTCCAAAGAAAACTTGCTGCTATGTTTTATATTAGAATTTCCATTAATAGGTATAATTGTCCTAAAAGCCAACCTTGAATGGATTCCAAGAGAAAAATTCAAAGGGACTTTGTAAAATATAGGTTTGTAAGCATAATAAGAGATTTAAAAATGTTGAAATGAAAATCATATTAAATTTTCTAATTGCATAGATGTTTTACTGTACTGATACTATAAGATTTTATGATACTGATATTTATTAATAGTATACGTATTTTAGACGTCAAACAAACTATACATGCATTTTTTTTTAAAGCCCAGTTTAATAATAAATGTACACATCTACAAATATTGGTGTTGAGACAAACGACAGTCTTAAGTACTTTACTCTGAGATAAATTCTTAAAATGCTAAAAAACGAAGGAAAATGTAATGCAAAAAAATGAATGACTCCATTATATTATAGATAGCAATAATTAGATTTAAAAGAAAATTACCTTTTACCATGTAACCTTTCACATCTATGTGCAATTTTCTTTCAAACAGTTTTGTCAGTTCCAATATACAAAGAATTCTAAAACAAATATTAAATTTTAATATCCTATGAAAACTTAAAATTGCAATCATTTAAAAATATGATATTTTTAATTAATTGCTTACAGTATCTAATAAGTCTCAAAACTTTAAAAGTACCATTACGGCCTTCAGGAAATATTTCTATTATTCCAATTGAAGTGATATTGTGAGAAGTTCAATTATTTGACTAACACAATAGCAAATTGGTATGTTTAAAATAGTATATTTAAAATATTAAAATGTAGTTGTTGTCAAAATCAATGTAGTAAGTGAAATTTATTGAATCAACAATGAACTTACAAATATTTTATTTTAAAACCACCGTTGAACACCAAACCCAATTTTGAGGTTACCGCTACCATTGTTCAACACCATAGCCTTGTAATTCTGAACCCAATCCAGAAGACAAGGAAACTTCAGGATCAAGTATTGGGAGGAATTTTGGAGAATTTACCTCATTGGAAGGCAAGAGCTCTGTCCCCTGACCAACCACGATTCTCACAAATAATCCACATTAAACATAAAAATAAAATCTTTCACAAAATGCGGTAGAGTTAGCAATTATGCATTACATGTGTGGAAAATCAGAAGTCACCACTAGAGAGCATCATTGAACTTATTAATATTCAATTTGTAACCGCAACCTTTATCAAAGATGCTTGTGAAAAAACACCAACACATTTTTTTAGTATTAGTATCATCCTGTCTTATGTACATCATGTTGTAGATTAATATGCTTTTGTTACTTACCCCCCAACTCATCATTTCACATTTAAGTAGTTTTCCTTATTAAGTAAACGATATTATACATATAATACCCAGTGAAATACAAAGCATAATTTGACCTGCTTTTACGTAGTTATCATACATATGGTTAGAGTCATATTTAAATATCTTTAAACAGTAACTGACATAGATGAATAGACTCATGAAAATGTCTTAAAAAGCTGTTCCAGAGAAAGTGTTTCGCAAAAACCCAGAATTCCGCAGAAAAGTCCCAAGGGCACCGAAAAATAAACATTTTCTCAAAACCATTTAAGGTTTTTGAAATTTGTGAATATATATTTAAATCCAATAAATAATCCATTATCTATTTAATATTTAGATTATTCTTACTAAATTGTATAAATAAAATGTCAGTGAAAAGGAAATGCATTCACGAGAATATTTATTTCTAATTACAACATATTAAATAAATAATGAAAAATATTAGCATTTATAAAAATATTTGCAGTAATGTTTCTCATCAGACTTTTCAAAATTCCACAATAAAGACATGCGTTTCTTTGATAACCATTCTCAACATTTATATTTATTCAATGATCATTATTCATTTTTATTTTTAAAAAAAAATATAATTCTGCTTATTTTATTCGTTTTAATCTAATTAATACACTACGCAAATTCAGAGCTAGACTATAACATGGCACTCCAGAGTTGCGAATTCAAATGTCTAAGCACAAAATCTAATTTTAAAAATATTATATATAAATGATGAAAAAATTTATATTAAAATTCCAAGAATATTAGCAGGGTTTCTTTGATTAGGTTTTCAATTGCTAATGAACTTTAATTCAGTATTCTGCCAAAAGAAGGTCAATTATTTAGGATACTGTAGCCAGAAAAAATTTGTAGCAACTAATTTAAAGGACCATAAACTGGAAGACAGTTTACTACAAAAGATTAGCCTTTAGAGAGTTAAGTGAGAAAACTCACCTATGTCAAAGCCCTAAAGAAGTAATTAATTGAGAAATAGAATTATATATTAATTATCACTAGGTATAGAGATTCCTTACATACATTTTAAGATGTTGGATTAATTTTTTTAAATATTAAGATTATACATTAATGTATTAAATTTTACATTAATATACATTTGAAATTAAACTTCTTCGAGAACACACTTAATTTTAAAAAAATGAAAATTCAATTATTTTTAGTTGCTTATTTCGACCTATAAGATGATAATTCGATTTATAAGATGATAATAAAAAAGCTTAAAAATATAAATCATTATAAAAAAAAGCTTACCACCACGTTCACCATTATACAGACGAGAAATAGACACCAATTTCAAGACACTAAAGTCTGTATATAAATCACGGACAGAGCAATGATTCAACAGCTTTCGAGTTGATAAATCCATTGGTTGCTGCAAATGAAAATAAGTGCTTAAATTAGTATCACCAATATTAAGAAAACATAAATTAAATTTATGAACATTAAAAGTTTAAATATCTGACTATGATGTGGACTTGATGTTAGATTCAAAAAAATTCTGAAAATATTATTCCTTTTCATGTTTTGAAGTAACCACCAGCAGCACAAAAAGATAATGTGAACACACTGAACAACTTTTGATCAGATTAACAAAAGACTGTTTATTGCAAATCAACCACATACCTTGAAATAATTACTTTTAAAAGCTTTTGTCCACAAAATAAATCAAAATCCTCATTGAAATAATAATTGCATCTTAAAAAATTATTAAAATATTTACAATTGATAAATTTTAATAAAACATCGATATCTTCAATATCTGATCTTATTTAGAGAAAGTAATTTTTTGTGTCGTATTTGTACTTAAAATATGTTTTGCACTAATTTATTGATGTCGCCTTGAATGATTAAATTTAAAGCCTAGTATGTGGTTTTATTTATTCATTATTATTTTGGATTTTAACCAAACCAAACCGATTTACATCAGAATTCAGCACTGTTACTTTTAAGAGAAACTGTTCTCCCAAAACAGGAATGTTTAATCCACTTTCCATTACATAAGATTCAGAATTAAATTAAGTAAACTATATTTTATACATTCGCAAAAAAGAAAATCTGTAAAAAAATTGCTGAAAGTGCTAAAATTTTCAGAAACAAAAAAAGTTTAAGAAGAGTTAAATAAGAAAAAAGCTTATAAGTAAAGATATAAACAGTAAATAGACGCTAAAAAATTTACGAAAACTAATAAATCCATATTCTAATAAACCATAAATAGTCCGAATATGTCAAATTTGTCAGAATATGTCAAATTAGACAGTTTCACAAGGAGGGCTCATACCACAGCTAAGTTAACGTGAAGAATTAATCAATCAAAATCTTGCTTTGTAATTAAAAACAGGATTTTTGAAGAAAAGGAAACAAGAAAGAAAAGACAAAGAAAAACCAGGAAAAATATTTTCAAAAAATAAATAAATAAACTAAAACAGGATAACTTTTGGCACAGTATATGTATACCAGATAAGTTTTAAAAAGAGCAAACGACGAAATATAAACTTGCTGTGCTCGAGTAATATTGGCAAATATTTGCAAAAGATGATAAACTACAATAAGAAACTACAATAAACTTCAATAAGAGTCCATTAAAAGAATGAAAAAACCAATCAACACTTACATCGTTAGTATCAGAGTCTCACTCTTATGAAACTACTGTGAATAAAATTCTATGTTTATAAAAAATGCAGTTCAAAAAATCTATGCATACCTAACAACTTAAGAAGTTTTAAAAAAAAAGTTTTAAATTGATGATCAATTTTTAAATTTGGGGGGTATTTAAATTCTTAGAAATATTAATAAGCAAGCATTAAATTCAAGATAGATATAAATTTATTTTGTATTCTATGGGTCACTTATCGTTTCATTGAATTTTGAGAGAGGTTATTTTCCATGTTTGTTGGAAGGGTTTCCCTAGCTTGGGTTTGAAAATATAAAGTTCCTTTTTTGCTTAAATTTACATAGTAGACAATTATGGGTTTTCCCAGCTATGTGGAAACATCAAGACAGTATGAACGTTTTTGCAGATTTTGGTTACTCGTGAAGTATGTAGAAAGAAAAATATATTTATTTCATGATAAAATAAGTATTTGTTGGAAAAAAATTCTGCAGCTGTGGATTTAAGAGATAAACTTTAAATTCACAGAAATTAAGATTATTTTTCCTCTTTAAAACACAGTTGTACTAAGAAATTCCAATTTTGAACTTTTTTTTATTTTAAACTTTTATTTTTTTATTAATATTAATGTTTTTCTGAAGTTTGTAAATATTCTTACATATCACTGAGATATGTACATGATATTCAAAGTGATATAAACATTGCTGAAAGAGCTAACTTCAAGAGCTGAGAGAAAACTTCTGAAAAAATATGTAGCACCACCAATATGAGTTTATTTTTAAGTAAAGAAAATTAAAATAACAAGTATTACAGTGCAGATAGGGGAAAAAAAACGGAAAACTTCGAATAACTTTTGATCAAATGACCAGATTTACATGTTATGGGACTCAATCAAAATGATTCATGAGTAAAATTTTTTATTATGTTTTTTTTAAAAATAGAAAAATTATAACTGTAAGGTGTGGAAACTTTTTTTATCTTAAAGAATTTAATTTTCAAAGAAAAAACACAAAATTTGACCAAAATCAATTCAACTGCTTCTGATAACTCAAACTTTAAATATAGATTTTTTTAATAAAATTCTTAAGAATTATTCAATTGATTGTATTAAAATTTCGTATTTTGCTATTACATTCTTTAAAAGAATGCAAAATTTTACATATTTGACTTTTGACAATTTACATCACAAATTACTATTTTTTGACAAATTACATTATTCATTTACATGAAGCTTCATTATATTCAACATATGTATTATGAAGTAATTTGACAGAATAATGACTGTTTCTGAAGTTCAAAGCATATTTAATTTAAAGAATTTTCTTATTCCCAACTGCCTGTAATTTATAAATAAATTTTTTTTACAAATAACACTTTTTTAACATTAATGAAATTACAGAATGAAGGATTACAGAAAGAAATTCATGATAAACAGAAGTCATTAAGAATTTTTTTTTTTTATTTATCATATGCTCATTAAATAAAATTTAAAGTTCGACATTTCCTTAAAATAAGAAATAAACTTATTTAATGTTATATCTAAATACAAAATAAAGCTTACTTATTAGTAGCAGTCTTTTTCACTTTTTCAATTTGTGTTTTGAGTCAAGATTCTTCACAGAAGATGGTTCCAGATAATTTAGGCAACACATCAGTATCACAACATACACTAAACTTCATGTTCCTTCTCCATATAGAAAGCCTAAAAATATTTTGATTTCAAATTATTTATTTACATTGTTGATACATATTTTACAAAAATTAAGCCAAGCAAACTAAATTATTTTTTCTAAAAAATACCAAAAACTTTTATTTAAACACTGGAATTGAAATTATAATCATATAAAAATTAGAAAAGCATACTCTGTTTTTAGTTTGGTTGGATTTAACTACACTTAATAAATATTACTTAATCTACAAAAGGTACACTACTTTGATTAAATTAATTTTTATATAGTAGTGAACTTACTCACGTAAGACATAATAATTAAGTATGTTATGTTCATAAAAAGTCAAATTGTAATTTTCATTAAAAATGTTAAAATTTCCGATTTACATTAATACTCAACTTGGCTAATTGTATAGCTACACACCAATTATATATGAATTTAAAGTTCAATACAAACTGAGAATCCGAAAATAAAATTACCTCATATTCTTTCAAGTTCTTGGATAGTTTTTTAACTCTGGTTGAAATTGGTAGAGAGTGAGAAAGTTCAGAATACATGTCAGTCAACCATCGTTTTCTGTCCTCAGACTTTATAAAGCATTTAGTATAGATTCTAATTTAGCTTTCTTCACTGCTGAAAAAATTTCAAAATTATATAGAGTTATAATTATTAAAAAAAAATAATAAAAAAAAACAATTAAAAGGAATTTAAAAATTTTTGGAGAAAAATTTAATAACATTTTGAACACAAATGTAAACAAATATTTATTTTAAACAAAACTAATAGGAATATTTATTTACAACTGATAAATTACACAAAACAGTTGAATACTTATAAATTTTTCAGAAAGATATATTTATAAGTACTGCAACATAGTAAAATCATTTTTTTACTATATTTTGCCCACATGAAGAAAATTATAATTATAATGAAATTATATAAGTTTCGTATTTAGAATAAGTAAATGGTAATTCATACATACCAATTTTAAGAACAACAAAAGAACTGGAGGCATCGATCGAAGAGAAGGTGGAAGATGTTAATACCTATTTAAATAGAAGGATTATAACACTATTTATCTTTAAAAAATGAACAAATTAAATTTATAAATATAGAAAAGGGAAGCAATTCATAGTGACTAAAACAACATAATCACAAATCACTGGAAATGTGATTCATGTTATCTAAATTTATTAGCATCATCAAATGAGTTAAATTTATTTTAGTTTTAAGTTGTAGTGTTTGGTGGGTAATAACATATGGATTAGTATTTCCATCCAATCAGTCTCTTGCATGTTTAGTATTATTCTCCAGTTAAAATGAATGTTTAATTAATTACAATATACATTATTTACATTAAAACAACATATTTTTAAAAATTTATTAAAAAATAACCAATTTTTATTTAGGAAATAATTCTGCTAAATGTTAATAATCCACATTTGGCAACTTTTATCCATCTTTTTTGCAAATTACAGTTGTTTGCAATATTTTATTGCAATATCAAACTCTTCAAATGATTGCAATTATATCAATTTATTTACTAAATCAACGATTGAAAAATTATTATAAATTAACTTTATTCTCAATTTATTCACAAAACATCAATTTTCATAAATTAATACTGAATAAATTATAACTATTAGCTATAAAGTAGTAATAATCTACAAATAATAAACATAATTTTAGTGATAATTAAGTTACTTTCCTTTTCCTTAGACATAGGTACAAGAAGCTTTTAAAAATTTATGTTTAGTAGAACTGCAATATAACAATAATCTTTCCACATACAAGTATCAATTAAAAAACAGCTGTAAATTCAAATGTAAAAAAAAAAAACCAAAGCCTTATTTTTACTTTATAAAACTGTAAATATAGGAAATTATTAAACATTTCAAAGTTTATTTATAATTCTATTAAACTTTATTGGTCAATTTAGAAAAATTGATGTCCGGTTTGAAGAAAATAATGTTTCATGGCATTGTTGGTGCCCGGTTACGGAAGCTTTGCAGGGGTCTGTTTAGAAGAAATTTGGGTCCGTTAACGGACCCTTCACAAAATATCTTTTCATAGAAACGGACCCTTCACAAACTA